ATCAGCCTGTAGCAGAGAATGAACAGAAGCATAACAGTTCCATCAACTACTTGCTCTTATTCCTTCTAATGTTCTCCCCAAACTCTTTCCAAAGCAGTAGCTTCTTATAAGAACTCTGTTGCTTTAAGAACTGTAGCCTTTCCCTCTGTGCCAGAAATTTCAGATTATAAACGAGAAGGAGGAGGGTTCTTGGGTTTTTTTATTGTTCTGTAAACTCTTTTGGCAGATTTTCAGTATCATCCAGCAGCAAAGTAAGGACTCACATTCCAGTTCTTTTCATGCTTCTTGGAAGAGACTTCCTGTTAATGAACAATTTACTGATAACTGACTAAACAGTAGGTTTCACTAGAAACTGAATTATCTGCATCAGCTCGGATGTTTAGCAAATCTGCTGGCTGAAACTATAGTGCAAATTACAAGATAAAATTTCAACAAGTTTGAATGATGGGCTAAGCTACTGTCCCGTTTTTAGTGAGCAGGATAATAGAATGGCTTTTGCTTACTGTGTATTTTTGAAAATGTGTAGAATGACTACAAGGAAGCAACAGATAGTTCTCGATAGTGGTTCAAAAATTAGTAATCGATCTGATAGAATTCTACTGCCACAGCTAGTGCATGATCCTAAAAGAAAAATGTTTTAAAAAATTAGGCTGATTAGTAGGTGGTTCTCCATATTTATTCTACTTGTTTTATATTCTGAGCCTTCAGAGTATTTTAGGATACATTTCTATGCATCAGGCACAGACAGCTTGCTTTTGGCTTGGTGGAACATTTTGTCTTTAAGAAATAGATTTCTTTGAAGGCTGAGGGCCACATGGATTAGTGGCATCATTGTGTCAACAGAATTTTTGCTAACCTGAATAAGATGGGTTGTTGGTATTCTCTGAGCTTGCTTTTTTTTCTTGCAGATGTTTCATATTACCTCAGAGGGAATTAAAGGTCTACAAGAAGAAAAGCAAGCTCAGAAAGCAGCGAGAATTCAAAATGGGGAATATACCAGGCTATTTGAGTAGCGCACTTGCAGCTTCTGGCACCAGTGCATTGCTTTCAGTGTGTATTCCCCAATGTGTGCCTGTTTATTCTCTTATAAGCCCTTCCTCTCCAATTTCTCCGCTCTGCAAGGGAGAAAAAAGAGAAACAACAGATCAGGCACAGGACAACACATACAGACTAATGGCGATCACAAGACTGAGGGATGCCACTGAGGTGGTAAATGCACGCTTGAGTAAACTTCTTTGCTGAACACACGTGTCATGAGCGTTTCTCTGAGACGAACGGGCTAAACCTTACATAAAGCCAGGATTCACTTCTGAGCACTACCCGGTATCACCGAGGAGCACTCGCAATTTCATGCACAGGACAGCCAAGTATTCCAAGTCTGTCAACTTTGACCGAGATGGCCAGCCACGGAGAAGGCGCGAGCCAGTGGTGCAACGAGGAGCCCAAGCCCAGGCGCGATAGAAGGACCAGCCCAGAGCGAGGGGCACGGGGATGCAGCCGAGAGGGCGCCGGAGGATGCCAGGTGGTCGTTTGGTGTCGGCATGGGCCCTGACAGGTCGGCAGGATGGGGAGTCACAACGAGCCGTGGCTCGGGATCCAAAACCTGGGAATTGGAGGAATGCGTGATCCAGCTGGAGGTCAACTTCCAGCAGCAGTTGGGGGCCATCCAGGCAATGCTGCAGGCCATACTTCATGGGAACAAGGCCCCCGCAGCAGAACCACAGGTGGAGGAGGAGTTGGGTGAGGCCAATGCTGGTCCCGTGCCCCAGCGGCTCTGAGGACACGCCTCGGGGTCAGGGGGTCAGGAGACCGACGGGCGGTGGATGCACTGCAACTCCAGGGCCTGAACGGCAAGTTCTCAGGGGACCCCGAGCAACTACCCTGCTTCCTCACATGTGAGGAACTTGATGAAGCGGAGTGGCCACCTTTTCTCCAACAACAGGGAGCGAGTTGCCTACGTGGCCGACTTGCTGGAGGGCCAAGCAGCCAGTTGGGTCATCCGCCTATATGATGCAAATGCAGCCAAGCTAGAGAGTTTCCCGGAATTCATGCCGGCACTCCGGGATAGATTCGAGGACACGCTGAGTGCCAGATGGGCCAGAGACGACATCCAATGCCTGAGACAAAGGGAGAAATTGGTGGCCGAGTACGCCCTAGAGTTCCGGTGCAGAAAAACTCACCAATTGGCCAGAATCCCTGAAAATAGACTATTTCCAAAACGGACTCAACCCGGAGATCCTAGAGTGGGCGCTCGGCCAGGACGACCCAACAACGCTAAAGGAGTGGATCTGGTTGGCCGGGACAGCAGATTAAGCGAAGGACAAGGCATCAGAAGCCGAGCAAAGCTGAGCCGGGCGAGGCGGCCGCGGAGGAGAAGCAGAGCAGCCGGCGGCAGACCGCAGGAGGGCAAGAGGCTCAGAAGAAAACGGGCCTCTGTTATCAGTGCGGAGGAAGAGGCCATCGGGCAGTGCAATGTCCATCGGAGCAAGATGGGGCTCCACCCCGTGTAGACACCAGGGCCCTGAAACCCCCTGGGCGGCGTGCCCTGACCGACCACGGAAAGGAGTGGGGGCAGCTGGTCCACCCCCGAGACGGCATCGTCAGGGGAAGAGGCGGTGCTGCCGGGAAACAAGCGACACCTGCACTGAACGACATCCCAGTGCAGGCAGAGGGGCTGAGACGCAAAGACCCAATGGTGAGCGAGGACTGCCCACCCATGCGGGTGAGGGTCCACATCTGGGGAGTGAGGTCGGGGGCTGAGGCTAATCTGCAGGCATTACTGGACTCCGGGTGCACCCATTGCTTGATACACCCGGCGCTGGTATCAGGACTGGGCCTCCGGGTGTGGTGGCTCAGAACCCATAGCCTTCAGCCAACTGGATGGCTCACTCGCAGATGGGGGGGCTGGCTCAGTACTACACTGAGCCGGTCAAGATGACGATCGGGACCCATCACAAGGAGCTACAGTTCGTGGTGGTCCCGATTGCTGACTACGCACTGGTACTTGGACTGGCTTGGCTGAGGCAGCGGAACCCCCTCGTCAACTGGGCGTCGGAGGCGGTGCGATTCCGAGACAAGGAAGAGCAGACGAGAGAGAACCAGAGGCGACAATGGGTGATGATGAGGAAGGGAGCAACTCCAGACAGCAATCGGCGGAAGAGAAGCTGGCCATGCAGGGAAGCGAGCGGGCCGCGGCGGGAGCCAGAACGGCGGCGGCGATGTCGGGGGTCCCTGAGGCGGTGGCGGTACCAGAGCTGAGGGGCCCCAGTGAACCGGCAACCCAGATGGCAGCGGCGGTGGCGGCTGGCTCTGCGCAGGGGGGAGCGGAGGAGCTGGTGGACATTGAGAGCATCCCCCACCCTTACTGCAACCTGATGGTGGCGTTTGGCGAGGCGGATTCAGATCAATTCCCGCCCCACAGACCCAGTGACTGCGCCATAGAGCTAGAGCCTGGGGCCAAGTTGCCCAAGCCTAAGATGTACCCCCTGTCAGGGAAGGAGATGGGCGCCCTATGGGAGTTCGTGGACCAGAACTTGAAGCGGGGATTCATCCAACCTGCGAAGTCCCTCCTGGCGGCCCCGGTGTTGTTCTGAGAAAAGAAAGATGGCTCGCTAAGACTGTGCGTGGACTACCAGGGGCTGAACGCCATAAGTACTGAATACCACTACCCACTTCCCCTGATGAAGGACCTACTGTCCCATCTGTCCAAGGGGAAGATATTCACAAAACTGGACTTGTGAGACGCATACTTCAGGGTCCGGATACGCGCGGGGCATGAATGGAAAACTGCTTTCAATTGCCTGGTCAGCAGTTTCCAGTTCTGCGTGATGCCGTTCGGGTTAAAAGGAGCCCTGGGGGTGTTCATGCAATTAATAAATTAGGTGCTGCATGTTCTTCTCTACCGGGGTGTCCTTGTCTACCTGGACGACATCCTAATATACTCTGAGACCCTGACTGAGCACGTGAGACTAGTGCGCACTGTGCTCCAAAGACTGTTAAAAGTGCAGCTGTACGCCAAGCTCTCGAAGTGCAAGTTCCATCGAGAGCAACTGGACTACCTTGGGTATCGAATATCCAGCAGGGGTGTGGAGATGGACCCAGTGAAAGTAAAGGATATACTGGGGTGGGAAGTGCCGCAGACCTGGAGGTAGCTCCAAAGCTTCTTGGGGTTCGCTAACTTCTACCAGTAGTTCATTCCAAACTTCACTCAAGTCGCCCTACCATTAACGGACTTACTTAAGACTCGGGGCAGCGACAAAACCCCCAAACCCAGCATGCCCCTCGCATGGACCCCGGAATGTCAAGAGGCATTCAGGGACCTAAAATGAAGGTTCACAATAAAGCCCATCCTGCGTCACTCCGATCCGGACTGGCGGTTCATCATCCAGGTGGATGCCTGTGATGTGGCGATAGGAGTGGTCCTTCTACAGCCCAGACCTGAGGAAGCCCACCACCCGTGCACCTACGCCTCACAAAAGTTCACCGAGACAGAAACGCAGTGGATGGTGTGGGAGAAGGAGGCATTCGCTATAAAATGGGCCCTGTCCAACTGGAGATACCTACTGGAGGGAGCGAGCCAGCCGTTTGAGGTGTGGACAGACCACAAGAACCTTGAGGCACTTAGGACCCCGCGGAAGTTTTCACTCAAGCAGATGGGCTGGTCCCAATACTTCGGATGATTTAATTTCGACCTCAAACACATCCTGGGGAAAAAGAACTTCTTAGCGGATGGACTATCCCGCATGCCCCAACACGCCAGCCAGCGGGAGGAGGTTGTGGACTTGGTTGTCCCTGCAACCCGGCTGGCCACAAAAGCCGTGACACGCAGCCAAACGAGGAAGTGGGTGAGCGACGCAGAGCCGGGACCCCAACGGACTTTCTGAGAAGCCGGTGAGCAAGAGTCTTGGTTGGCGGCGAACAAAGACTCTTTAATGGGACATGGGGGACTGTGGTGGCACAAGGGCAAGCTGTATGTACCTAGGGGTTGCTGAAGGGAGGTGATGGAAAGAGCCTATGATAAGAACGTGGGCCATTACGGGTTTGTGAAAACCCTCCATTTAATACGGAGGCGGTTTTGGTGGCCGAGCCTTCGGAAGGACGTGGGAGCGTCCACAGGAAGCTGCCCGATTTGTGCAACCGCCAAAGGGAGCAGGGGGAAGCCCCGGGGTCTCCTCCAGCCTGTAGCAACGCCAGAAGGCCCTTGGCAAGAAGTCGCCATGGATTTTATTGTGGAGTTACCCGAGAGCAAGGGGAAGATGGCTATTTGGGTAGTGACGGACTTGTTTTCAAAACAAGCGCACTTCGTGGCTTGGCAAGTTCCCACAGCGGAGAGGCTGGCGCGGATGTTTGTGCAGCACGTGTATCGATTGCACAGTGCCCCCCGGTGAGTCGTGAGCGATCGGGGGGGGGGAACTTCATCACGCAGTTTTGGCAGGAGTTCCTGAAGCGAGTGGGGACTCAGCAAGCCCTCTCCTCGGCGGCACATCCATAGATGCATGGGGCCACGGAGCGTCTTAATGGGGGATTGGGGCAGTACCTATGATGCTATGTGGACTACCAGCAAGACGACTGGGCAGAGCTGCTGCCGTTTGCAGAGGTAGCATATAACAATGCAGTCCACAAAAGCACCGGCTTCACCCCGTTCAAGGTGGCAACTGGGCAAGACTTCGTAGCCATGCCCAAGCTGCCCCAACCAGCATCCCGGATCAACTCATTGGACATTTGGTTTGCCCAGATAGACGCCACAAGGCAGGCGGTCTGAACGACGCTGCAGGAAGCCAGAGCGGACTACAAAAAATATGCCGACCGCAAGCGACTCCCCGAGTGGC